TATTCATCGTCATAAGCCTTATGATTGATAATAGAATGCTTGGTCGATTTTGAATTACATTAGTAACCATAAAATGTTTAAATGTTGAATTGACAGATGTGCGCAATTATTTTGATAAAATACTTGTGCGTGCAACAATGTGCGTATTTCCGAATGCAGGTAACATTGAAATGGAAATTGCCTTCACCGTTCACTCTATCACTCTAATATGTGATGGTTGATTACTGTTTCTCGGAAGACAAGATTAATAACTTTGATTAATATGTATTTCAGAGAATATTATTGGGAGTAAAACCCAAAATTGTATGTTTCATCAATCGAAGTTTAACTTGTATAGCGCATTGGTTATTGCATAATAGCTTATATGCACAAAATGGTCAAATTGATACCATCAGTTCATCAATTTGAAATCTGTATTACAAATACGAGTACCGTACTAGATGACAGGAATAAAATAGGCTTAATGAATCCTAATCGCGTGGTCCTGGTTTAAATCTAGATAGTTTTTGGTTTTTTTTTTGTTGCTAAACTATCTTTTTATCACTAAATCACAACCACATCTTTGGATTTTAGTTCGGATTTTTGTGTTTGTAAAATACATCAACCGAAGTCCAAATATTTATTTGCAGTCAGGTAATTTTGGTGTTAAGTTTGACAGCGCACCAGGAGACAATCCCCTGCTCTCTTTCGAAGAGTGTAGGCCTACTGCGTTTTTTACCTTGCACACGGGTCATATTGTACACTGGACTAACAGAAAACGTCTCATTTTGAAATACGATGTACACTCACTGAAACCACACTTTATTGAAAACTTTTTTTAGCCTTCCGATTGAGACAAATAGAGCAACGATAGAATTGAACGAGGGACCAAAAATGGTTAAAAGGATCTCAACAACGGTTCAGTGTACACCTAGTGACTAGCACCAGTTTAGGCAATTTAGATAAATTGCTCTCTCCTTGTCTCAAAATGAGACGTATCAGTGGCGGATATAGGATTTAACAATTGGGGGGGGGTGGATAATGAGAGG